TAGTACGTTGATCCAAATAGTAATGGGTACATCAATAACATATGACAGAAATTTCTTTTCTCTATAGTTTTGATACCATATGAAAGAAGAGAACGTGATGAATTATTATTGAATAGTTGGGTCGTACATATTCTAACTTTAGGAGTAGGAAAAGAAAACCCTAAAACTTATTTACATTAACATATTTTACTAACATACCCTTACACAAAGTAATTACAAATGTGCACTTCCCAGTGGTCCACAATAAAGGTCTCACAAACATTTATAGGGTTTTTGTATAACCTAATATCAAATATAAAAAGAAAAAAAAACAAACTTGTAACTAAATAAGAAACAAAGTCCTAAACCAGTACTATGCTTATTTCTTTTAGTTCTTAAATAAGAATATATATCCAAATATAAAGGTTATAGTTACATAAATATCCAAACATGAAGGTTATAGTCTTTGCATTCTTTTTACATGATGTCTGATACGTATTCATTTAAAAAATTAAGTTTTCTAAATGAAACCCAGGCAATGTATCCACATTATATCTGTTCAGTATATAATATTTTCTTTCAAAAGAAAAATTACTTGATAACTTTTCTTTAGATGATAGTGTAGAAATCAATTCAAATGACGTCTGCAACTCTATTCATTTACTTGTCAACCCTTTTTTAAATGAACAAATTTTTGTCTATCCATATAATGTCAGTTTCATTTATTTCTATGAGAACATTATTTGAAAGGAAATTATGCAGTCTACTCACATAATCATTCATAATCATTTTGCAACTGAGAATAAAATGCATCAATAGAAATTAAATGTACAATTAATAACTTGGTAAAAGTTCAACAATATGCAAATATATTCAAAGAATAAAAAGAATAATTTTCTTTTGAATTAAAAAAGAAGTGAATAAAATTTTGAACAATTGGACATCAAAAAGTGAATACATCATTGTGGCATAGTTATTTGACCAAGTGCTTCGCAATGATCTTTCAATTTCTTAGTGTGGATACAGTTGGTCTGACTCTGATAGCACATGCTTGGATCTCTTTGATATTTCCTCAAGCATGTCATCTTCATGATATTATCATCACATAGATTCCTAACTTTTTTAGAAGCTTCCCTTGAAAAGATTGAGAGGATACCGCCAAAAAAAGGCTTTTCCTAGATTTCTGATGTTCTCTGCTGCTGACTGCATGGCACTGTTGGATGAATTAATGATGCTATATATCTTTTGGCTGATGCTGGAATCACTCATGCAGGCAGCCATATGTGAAACCATGGTGCTTCCAAACTGTGAGTGCATATGTGTTCCATGGATGTTAGCAGAAAAGGATGACTGGGTTCCGCGGAGTGTTGCCCCCTTCTTATGGCTTAATCAAGAAGCGAGTACCAGTGATTATAGTCCTGTGCATGAGGTTTTCAGCATCCCATCCGAAGAGGCGAAGACCAAGACAGAAGCCAGTAGACACCATAGAGATCATCCCGAGAGTAAGCATCAAAAACAGAAGAAGGTAGAAAACATTCAACCACTGATTCCTGAATCAACAGTTGCATCTACATCCACATCAATCCCCAGCATATCCCCCGGGCAGAACAACAATTCTTTGCAGGAACTCAAAGTTCCATTGTTGGGAAGTAATGAACCGCAAGAAACATCAAAACAGGAACAAGTTGAAATCCCAGGGTGCAATTCGCAGTCTGGATCTCCTATACAGCTGGAAAAACCAAACAGTGCAGCTGATGATGATGAGTCAAGGCCGAAGAAAATGGGAAAGAAGGCCAGGATGCTTGATCTGGGAAAGAAAATGGGGGAGAAATTTGAAGAGAAGAGGCGTCATATTGAAGAAAAGGGCAGGCACATAGTGGAAAAGATGAGAGGACCCTCAAATAGCTAAAGCAACAAGAGTTCGGTGAATATCGTTTTACTTCACTTTATGTACAGTTTTTGCATTTGTTATCAGATGCCTTAGAGGGTTTAACCATAGAAATTCAATTGTGAGCGTTGCTTCCAAACAGGAATTCAAGCACTTGAATCTGGATCCTTCGTCGGATTCTTGGATTACTATATGCCCCAGGTTTGCATCAGAATATTCTGGGCTTACCTTACTAATAGGTTTGTAACAGAAAAAAATGGAAAAAAAAGGAAAAAGAAGTTGGAAACATTGTTCAAGAATATGCATTTGTGTAGTATAAAAATATTTGTTGATATTTAGGGGGATTGAGTTACATTTAATTGTAGTATTACAGTCTGAATTTCTACTATATAGAATTCTATATTAATCCAATTTCTTCTCTTCTCTTCCTTTGCAATCTCCCAACTTCAAATATACCCTTTAAAATAATGTAGTAGGTGAAGATAAAAGTATTTTAATTGCATCTTGTTTGGGAGTTAAATTATAACAAATAAAGGTAAGGAAAGTTTGAATTACACTCTTGTTTAGTTGGATAAAGTAATAAAGAATGAGGGTTTGACTAGTGTAATAAGAATTTGTCTTTTTTATATGTTAGAAAGTTTATTATATATACATAGTGGAAGTATTTAGGAAATTCCATTGAAAAATATTAATACAACTCTTGCAACCTCTCCAAAAATTTTCAATTTAGAGGGTTAAATATATGGAGTTTACGGGATTAGCAATCCTTTGTCTTGATTAGTTGGATATAATGGTGTCTTTGTTTCTGGCTTTCTAGTTGTTCTTTTTTCTCCAAAACGCTTACACCACCATCACCATCACCATCACCTTTTACCACCCATTTCATTTCATAACATTTTCTTTTCTTCTTTCTTTTGCTTTTTTCTATTGTAGTTAAATCTTTTCTTCAACACGTTGTTATATATGCGTATGTATTAGCCATTGAAGAAGAAGAAGAAGATACAAGCATGGGAGGAGAAAGATCAATTTGGGTTTATGTTTTTCTTTTTACATTATTAAGAAAAATTATTTAGATTTAAATTTGATTTTTAATTAACTAACAAATTTATTTTATTTTTTAGATCAAGTTGGAATGGTTAATTTTATTAAAACCAAAAAAAATTAATCAAAAACCTTCAATCGAAATTTCTTCTTAATTTTCTATTTTTTTTTATCACAATTTATATTTTGTACATTATACATACCTACCTTAAATTTACAAAAAGAAAATAATGTAAATAAAATAAATTTGATCAATTTTAATTTTTTATTTTCTATTTGGATTTGATCAAATCAATTTTCTCAATTTAGTTGATTTTTCATTCATTCTATTCATATATGAAGCTAAAAAGTAGTAACATATCGTTTTATATTTAATGTTAATAGACTGAATTGTTATATAAAAAAAAAAAAAAACATGTCTTAAATTAAAAAAAAAATTAAAATCATAAATAATTACACTGAAATTTATTTTATATATTATATATATATTTTTAATTAAAATTTTAAAAATATATTATATATAAGCAGTAAATTTGAACCGACCATAACTGATGTTAAAGTGAAAAGGTTAAACTCAACCTGACACACACACACACCATTTGGTTCCTTTTATGTGCTACATGTTTCGTGAATCAGAACTTGTTGGATTTTATTTAAAAGAAAATTATTCTGCCGAATCGAATTTGTTGAATTTGTTCAAACTATTCGTACGCTTAATTATCTAAAACCCTCATAAATTCAATCCTAATTCCTAGCAAGTAAGTGAGATTGGCGCTCATTCACCGTAGGTCAGTTGGATAACCAGTTTCATCGACATGGTAGCAAGGATTGGGCTTTCTTGCCTCACCTTGTCTCAGCAGAATCCCCATTCGCGATTGCCGCAAAGGAAGAATTTTCGCAAGGGAAGCATTCGAAGGCCGCAAATTTTGTCCTGTTCGGCTTCTGGAAACGCCTGCGGTCTGCGAGTTTTCGTGCTCTCGGATCTGCATACTGACTACTCAGACAATATGAGATGGGTTAAGAGCTTGTCCTCTACTGAATACACCAAAGACCTTCTTCTTGTTGCAGGAGATGTCGCAGAAACCTATAGCAACTTCGTTGAAACTATGTCCCTCTTGCGAGATAGATTTATGCGTGTCTTCTTTGTGCCTGGAAACCATGATCTTTGGTGTAGGAGGCCAAAACAAGATCAGGTAAACTCCGTCTCTTTCCTGCCTTTCTTTTATTTGTTTAGTCTGATCGTATTTCAGCAGTTTGGTTTCGTGCTTTGTTGTTATTCGTTGACATTATGGATCTTTGGATCTTGTGTTAGATCCCTCTCGTTGTTGTGTGAAACCGAGCTGGGTTAAGTATTGTTATGTTGCTCTATCCTCGGTTCTTTGTTCTCTCTAAGTTCAAATTACTGGTGGTGCAGCATCGGCGTCTTGTATGTAACTAACTTGTTTATTGTGAAGATAAAATATAAAAGTTGGACTATCTTTGGCAGCACGCCGGCTGTATTAATGAATGAATTGCCTGTCTTGAAGTCTGGTATTTGTTTTTATTGTTTACGCTTTTATGATGACTAAACACAAGTTTGGAATCTCTAGTTACTTGAACTGTCTTCTCGAACAGGGGGGGCAAGTACCTTTTTCTCATGTAGTGTTGCTGCCTTACCTTCTTGATGTTGCATTTTCATTTCCTTGGTTTCTTTTCTGTTAAGGGAACTGTTATTCACATCTATCATGTTATTGCCTTGTAGCTTGATTCTCTTGAGAAGCTGAATAAATTACTTGATGCATGTAGAGGACTCGGAGTTGATACCAATCCAATGGCTTTAGATGCCTTGGGAATCATTCCTTTGTTTTCTTGGTATCATGAGGTTTGTTGGACATCAATGCTCCTTTTCAATCAAATTAGTGATTTACTCTGCATTCATTTACTGAGTTGGTCCTGCTGGTTTTGCAGAGTTTTGATAGAGAGGAGGACATAATCAGCATTCGCATTCCGTCTTTGGAGATGGTGATTCACTTTCGTTAAGGGTAGTTATGCTTTTTTGCATTCTTATGGTTTGTTCCATGGTGATTCACATTTGTTAAGGGTAGTTATGCCTTTTTGCATTCTTATGGTTTGTTCAATTGTGTATCTTAATTTTGGTTAAAGCTATTTATAATAGAAATATAAAGTACAGATAGTAAGGATGATTTAAGGGTTCTACTCATTCTAGTTGTTGTATTCGCTTTTCCTTGTTTATCTTTTTCCGATAGGGGTAGCTCTAAACATCGTCAGACTCAGGTTATCTCTCATTAAGTTTTTATATCCTTTCTTTTCTTCCTTCTTCCCACTTAACTTTTCATTATATATTTCCAATGATTATTTGGTTCCCCTTACAAGCTTTAATAGGAGATAGAATTCCTGCGGGTGCAAGATTTTTGTATCTTTTTATGGTATGAAAAGTAGTGATTTAGGTCTGCAGTTTAAACCATAATATGCACAGGATCATTCAACATGATTTTGATGATCTAGAAGCCTGCTAAAAGTGTTGTCTGCTTGTGTAGAGAGATTATTCAACTTCAATGTGATTAGTGACTTACTTTGTGCCTTAAAGACTTGTGTCTATAGTAAGATCCTCATAATTGGTTTAGTCCATTTCAACAGAACAATCATACAACCACATCTATGGAGAATAAAGGGATTGTTGGAATGACAAAAGAGATGCTTTACAGACTTGTGGACTCAATCAAGCTTAATGGGGATAACTTAATGTTGTTGGAAACAATCATAGATGGGGCATCGACTGCAAGGACTACTGATATAGGGCAAATCAGGATGAATTTTCCTACTTCAAAATTTAGGAACGAAAGTTTAGACATCATACTTTTCTTAGATATTATATTTAGGAAGTCTCAAGTATCATACTTCAGGTTTTATTGCATAATACAATCAAAAAATTTTGAAACTCTCTGAAAATTTTATTAAATAACTGAAGCATGTTCCAAAAAGTGAAATTATGGATATATTTATAATTCTTCCTAAATAACTTTTATTAACAGGATTAAACTAAGAAATACTAATACTAATAGGATTAAAAAACAATACGACTAGTGGAACTAGAAAATCTAAATGCTAATTAGAATAAAATCCTGAAGTTACTAAAACTATAATAATAGACTCCTAATAATATAGTAGTTTTGTACTTAATAAAATTATGATTCCGAGTATCTATAGCTAATCCATTCTGTATCAATTACATTGAAAGACATGTGGAACAATCATCTATGTCATCTTATGGATGCTAACTGGTTAAATGAGGATTTATGACTTTAGAACCTAACATCTATTATAGGTTATTGCTTATATAGATCGACAAGCGAGTCTGGCAACATCTCCAGCAAATGTAATCAGGCTCTGGTAACATGACTAGAGCCTACCAATTGTTCGAAAAAATTGTGCTTCAATACTCATTATGGTGATCGAAACTTGAAGGAAATTATTTCTCAATGTGCAGATCTTTGATGACTTAGATTCTACCAAGTAATCTTCTTTTTGTGAATATGGTGTTGAATCAGAGAAAATTTGAATGTAATCAGTTTC